ATTGATTTCGTGACTTTTTACATTTTAGAAAAGTACGGGTCAGAGGGAGCACGACCGCGGGTCGTTTAATTAAGAGATATCACAACGGGTGCACAATGCAATGGGTGATGTTAAAGTGTAATGCCGCTGCAGGATACCCTCTGTACCCTTCCTATCTCTCGGTTTATTCATTCTGGGAAAATTTCACAATACCGTGTCATTTGTCACTGTTGCCAGAACAAAAGCCGAGCGCGATCATTAACTGATCTCCTTTTCAAATCAGTTGGGAACAACTAATGCCTAGTTGGAGTACGGAGAGTTGGACTTCGGTTTCACGTCATAGTTAGTAGGTTTGTTCGCGTTGACTGCACTTTCTACACTTGAGGGTCACGAGGGTACTACACTTTTCTTAAAAAGTGCAGAAGGGTAGATACACTTTCGTCGACGTCCCAAACGCCAGCAACCTCACGAAAATCCAAGATGGCCGATTTAGTACTGCGGTACGCGATTGTGAGGTTATCCGTATCGGGCGATGATAAATACGAAAATGTAATGCTTCCTCCAGCCTTCCTTCTTGGGCTGTCTCCTTTTCTTCAAATCCTCCAATTCGTTCCATTACCTTGTAATTGTAGAAGATGAAAATTCCTTTCACGAATTTCAGGTATCGAGGATCAATAAGGGTCAGAATATTATTGCAGGAGAATGAAAAACAATTTAACTACGACAGGGAAAATTTATAGTTTAGTTCATTCCAACTGCGGTTAGGTAGTAATACATAATTATTGTAAATTGTTTCAAACATTATGTACAAAACTAAAACGCTAAATCGTTCTATACATGAAGAAGATGCATTAATAATTACTTCTATTTATATTACGTTGAGACGTTAGCATAAATTTTGTATTTTCCTGTTTGTTGGTCTTTTCAATTTTGAAATTTGCCGCCAAATTCGCGGGCTACCCTTCTTGCCCTCGCTCGGGATCGAGGGTAGAAAGTGTAGAGAAAGTGTACACTCGGGGTAGATGCATTTGCAAAACGAACAGCGACGTCTGCGTCACTTCCGTCAAAACGAACGCCAAAGTGTACACTTTTCGTAAAAGTATAGAAAGTGTAGGCGAAACGAACAAACCTAGTGTCAAGTTTACCGGAAGTTGCAAAGCTCAAAACCGCGTATGTGCCATTGTACTCGATCTATTATCGTGACAACGAACCGTTAACGAAATTAGTTTATTGCTAATTTACCTTCTGATCAGAGAAAATGTGAGGGACGAGTAATTAACGAAATTAATATGTAACAATGTATGGGAATTTTAATCACGTTTTATTCTCAATTTTAATCTCTTCTTAATTTCTTCAATTTTAATCTCCAATATCTAAATCTTTCGAAATTTAAATTAATCAAAATTCTGATTGCGACACGAGAAATTGACAGGGTGATGCAATTCTATAAATTATACCGCACCAGCGAATTTGTAAAAAGATATGTCACTATCAGATGATCTCGGGGGAACCCTTGGTATCAGGGAATTAAACAAACTGGCCGTTCAAACGATTCCGTTTTCAAAGAATTCGAACTATGATCCCCTTTCGTAATTCGTCAAAGAATGAGTACACACTCGCGTGTCACGATTAGCAACTTCCATAAAAAATCTTGAGTAATAATGTGTCGAGCCGGAGAGATACATGCGCGGCAAATGCAGATAATTACTCTCCCGATTATCTTTGTTTACGACGGGTGTCATTTTCTGAAGTAATCCGGCCTTTTGCGGACAGTCATCTAGAATTATTTAACGAATATTTTTGTTGCTTCGGCAGCTCGTTGAATTTGACCCATGACCTCTTTTCGCAATCTGCTAAAGGAGGAATATGAAATATGTTTATAACGATCGGAAACATATTTCATCCTTTGGGCCCGACATTTTTCAACGACCCGTAGAGTACCAACAAGAGTTACAAATGACCCCCAAATTCAATCGTTTATTAAATATTTTAACACAGAATTTTGATTTTAATAGTAACAGAATTCAATAGTCAAAATATTGGGAATGATTTTTCAACGACTTGTTGAGTACCAGCAAAGATAACAAATGACTCCCAAATTCAATCGTTCATTAAATATGTTTTAATATAGAATTTTGATTTTCAAAGTAGAAAAATTCAATCGTCAAAATAGTGGGAATAATTGGGAATCATTTTTCAATGACCTGTTGAGTGCCAGAGAAGGTAACAAATGACCCCCAAATTCAATCGTTTATTAAATATGTTTTAATGCAGAATTTTTATTTTAAAAGTAACAAAATCTAATCGTCAAAATATTGGGAATAATTGAGAATGATTTTTCAACGACCTATTGAGTACCAGCAAAGCTAACAAATGACCCTCAAATTCAATCGTTTATAAAATATGTTTTAATACAGAATTTTGATTTTAAAAGTAGCAAAATCCAATCGTCAAAATATTGGAAAGAAGAGTATATGAGTCCGATTACAATATTTTTATTATATAAATAGAACTGGATGAATGTAAGAGTCCGAGAAACCGGAAAAGTGACTTTTTTGTGTTTTCCAGATTGTTGATTTTATTCTGCACTTTAATTAAAAAAGACGTATAGTTTTTTAATCTATAAACTTCCGTCTGTATGGCTATGAAAACGGTTTGTGTATCCGTTCCAGAAGTACTTACTTTGCATAACGAAAGTACTTTTCGCCGAATTAAAGGAATTAATTTTTTGTTGGCAATTTCTGAACAATTGCACTATGATAACATACTGCTACTTTTTTATCCTATGCCGAACTGATTCATCGGATTCAGGAAGAAATTTGGAATCTGACACTGAACGTTCAATGCAATTACTCTCTGTGTCGCTTATCAGCTGTTCCAATTGCGCAGCGTTTTCTATCTCTGATGTAGCGTCATCTGTATCAGACAACTCCTATAGGAGCTTGGTCTTGATTTCTAGAAGGCATCTTTTACCATTAAAAGAAGATGCAATTACTTTTACAAAACTATCTGTAATACTTACCAGATTTTAACAATTTTTCCGCAAACATCACAGAAACGCAATAAGGCTTACCTGCTCCAAACCGATTTTTACCCCGTATTTCCTAATAGATATTTTTATTTTCACTTGAATAATTACATTGTCATTAAAAACACTTTATTGAATACATTTAACAAATATTTGTATCAATATCTCGCTCAATTTTCATCTAATTGAACCTACCGGGGTCATAGATGACCCAGCAAATGCTTTTTTCTCAAAAGCCAGGCGAAAACTAAATTCATGTTTATTCTCCTTATTCATTCCTTTAATTACAAATATTTTCTCGTGCGTTTCGGGAAGTTTCCTGCAAAGTACTTACTCTTCCGGTTACACCGGGTCACTGGCGATCTCACTGGTGCCCAAAGGGTTAAAACTAAACATCATCTTCGGAGAAAAATGGAAAACCTCCCTTTGGATTTCAGCCCATCATGACTTTCAAAATTGTAATATATGTAATGTTCAAAGGACCATGTAACATATGTATCGCAATATTTATAATAATTATTCGGCAAAACGGAACAACTCAATGCAGTTATTTCTTTGACGAAGACAAAACTCATTTCATTATTTAAATATTTATCCTTCCAATACAAGGATTTACAAGGCCAGTATTTATTAGGTCTGACAATGTATTCGATTGTTTGTTTTTCACTTTACAATTGGTAATCGGCAATTTGTTTCCTGTACATACAAGAATTTATCCCCCATACGCACTAAATCACATAATCAGGAGAAAATTCGAGGAAACGTAACGCACAACCACAGTATCGTTGCAATTACGGCGATTGCGTTTGTTTTGATTTCCTTTGATCCATAAACAACGTTATTTTACACTTTTTCGAGATTAATCGTCGTCGATTCGAGCCTCCTTCGGGCTTGTCTAACTCCAGCCAATAGGCACATTGATACGTGCTGAGCCTCCACGTTATCAATTTCCAGCGATTTCTCTTATCAGTCGCTTAATTATATTTAAAGCTAAACGTTTCGAGTTATCGCAAATTCTAGCTCGGGGAAAAACTGGAGGCGACGATAAGTTTAAGACGATCACTGCCCCTTTTCGCAATTTTTATCTCGATTGGCAATTTATTTTTAGCAATTATCCTTGTTATGCAAAATTGCCATTTGCAACGATGTAACACATAAAGGAAATAATTCAAAGGCAAAATGATCGGAGGTCCATGTTCATTGCCTAAACAACTGATACGGCTAGACCAAGATTGTTCCTACAAACAGTGGACAGGAACGGCACTTATTCAAGGATCATAGAACGGAACACTTGAATCCATTTTATATACGTCTCCTTGAGGATTATACATATGGTTTTACACAATAAGCCAATTAAGGTGACGTGAAACGCGTCGAGGAACTTGATCGACATCGATAAAGAAGATTTTTCTAAATGCGTACGTTGCCGACGTTGGTTTTTATATTGACAGCTGTGTCAAATTATATTGGGTATTGTACCAAATGGCATACTCCACTTGTCGTTTTTGTACAATAATTATAAAGAAATCGAAGTAAAACTCCAGATATCCTCTGGATTCATGCTTTCTGGGGCCCTCATTGACTGCAGAGGGACCCCCTGCGCCATCTGTGATTTCCAGGTCAATTAAATTTTCACTCCGAGACCTCGTATTCCCATCGTTTTAGCATAGAAGCGCATACAACACTTTCTTTGCCTTTATCCCGTTCAAATGCGAGTTTATTAATTACCAGAGTGTTCTAAATTGTCGTAAAATTGTCCTGACCCTTTCGTTTCCCATATCAGAGCTTTCGATAATTGTATATTTATCGAAATATGAAAGCTCGGCGTCATATTGGTTCTGGTCTGGGCCAAGTTAAAAAATTGTTTCCAAAAATCCAAATTTTGAATGTGTCAGGACAATTCTTAGATGATCAGGAGTGATGTGTCAAAGTTTCGGACAGTTTGGTCTAATACCCTTAAAAAAGTGTTGTATTCGAATTGACTGATTTGAAGGAGGTTTCACTTCACCTTAACAGTAGTTTCGCCTCCTACATGCAGAGCTCCGAAATTTAATCCTATCGATGATACGATGCGCTATCTATTTCTGTTCGGCTAGGCCGATTTTTTTAGTTCTTTGTCCAGCATGCGTGAATGTACTTTTGTCTTCCGTGGTTTGTCCTATCGGCGAGTAGGTAGATAAAATGTGTCGAGTCCACCTGATTCAGTCGGTACAATGATCGAGTGTTTCCGTCATTGTATCGATGCTTATTACGACAACTGGCCTGACTCAGATCTCATTACTGTGGGAGCCCTGGTCAACAAACGTTCATTTGTTTGTAGCAAGAATCTAGAGCTTCGATCGAGTTCCCCTTAATGGCGTTTCATCATTTCTCGATCAGGAATTAATGAGCCATCCATGCAGTTTATTTATTAAAGCTTTATACCGATAGCCACATTATTCGCATTCGTTGGAAATCCCCGATAAACTGCCGAAACGCATCACGCCATCTTATGGATGAAGCCGCAGAAATGATTAATATTCCTTATGCAACTTTGATTAGCGCTTTCCCCAATTCCTATGAATGTAATTATAGTGAGACCTATGTATGCACAATGCTTTGAAATAATGAAAGAAATTAGTAAATGAAAACGTTCATTGACTGATATAGGGAGAGTATGAATTAATAAAGGAGGTCTGTCTTTATATTGTCTTTATTGTCTTTATAGTATTGTCTTTATAAGTGCGTAGGTCGATTTGGAATCTTGTAAATTAAGCGAGGCGCAAAAGTTTGCCTCGTGAAAGGAATAATTTCTGCAAAATTAATAAGCCTTCCGCTAATTGCATTATCGTTCTTCAAGAAATGTCGGATTTATCGGGCCCAGACATTGGCTGGACTACGAACCTCATTATTTCCGACATATAGTCAATGTGTATGCTTCGTGTCATTCACCAGTACATATGTTCTAGACACACTTATCCTTTGTTTCAATATCGTGGAAAACGTCGGCGAAGTACTTGGAGCGAAGCTTAAGATCGGACAAGGTGCCCGCGTTTTATTGCACATTTCTAACAATTACAATTATATTGAAAATATCCAGAATGGAATGACGAAGAGGAACGAAATGGTGATGAAACATGTATACATGTTGGCCACCCCGCCTTTGGTACGTATAAGACCAAATGATGAAGACGCAAAACGTATCCGCGATGAAAATATTAATATTGACTTTTAAGTGAGATTACGTAATTAAGTGGAGCAATACTAAGAGGTTTCTCACAAATGCAATTTGTTGTAAATGATAATTACCTCCTCGCGGGAGTCAAAATTTGCCTGAAATCCGTATGCAAGATGTTTCTGCGATGAAAATACCAATGTTGACTTTTAAGTGAGATTACGCAATTAAGTGGAGCAATACTAAGAGGTTTCTCACAAATGCAATTTATTGTAAACGATAATTACCTCCTCGCAGGAATCAGAATTTACATGAAATCCGAACGCAAGATGTATCTGCGATGAAAATAGCAATGCAGACTGGTAGGTGGAATGATGCAACTAAGTGAAGCAATACTAAAAATATTACAAAAATATCGTTTATTGTAAACGATAATTACCTCCTTGCGGAAACTACAATTTTCCAGAATTCCGTACGCAAAATGTCCAATTTGCGATGAAAATGCCAATGTTGACTTTCAGGTGAAGTGATGCAATTAAGTGGAGCAACACTAAAAAGATTATAACGAATGCAGTTTATTGTAAACGATAATTACCTCCTCGCGGGAACCAGAATTTGTCTGAAATCCGTACTTCGGTGCGCGTTAATGGTGGCTCTCCGGGGAGCACAACGCGGATAGGAGCATCAAGCCGGACGACGGAGCTGCGTTTTCGACGGGCGATAATGAGCTACAGGGGCCTCAAGTGGCACCGAGGCGAGTAAATAAGCCACACGTGGATCAGATAGCGAGCGAGCTCTGAAAAATAGAAAACGCAGAGGTGCCGACGCCAGTTTGGTATAAATCCCGACCGCGAGTGGGTCGAGCGCACGGCAGCCCGTGTCACATTTCGCCGATAAATCGGTCCCTCTCCGTCCTCGTTTGACTTTAATCCAAGCCAAAGAGCAGGGAGTAACGTTCCAAGGTGAACCCAAGAGGAATCGGCGAGTCCCGAGAGAAAAATAAGCCCGGAGAAGGAGTCCGTGTCGCCTACTGGTCCAGCAGGTGCAACCGGTTAGACGGTTCCGCCAGCCGATCGCACCGCGCCTTCGCCAGTCGATTTTGCCCAGAACCGCGGACGGCATTGCCGTGGAAAAGTTGGGTCATCCTCGAGGAGACATATCGAGGAACCCGTAGATCCGTTCCAAGTGGGAGGGAACGATCTCTTCGGGCGTTTTGAAAAATAGAGAAACGCGCAAGTGCGCGGTCGACCCGCCAGCTCGCGCAGAGAGTCCCGCTCGACAATAGCCCTCGACGGCTTCCAAGTGGAATCGAAATTTTCTAGCGACGGTGGGAGAAAGGTAACGCGATCCAGGTGGGGTGGAACGAAGTCCGCGGGATCGCGAGAGGAGAAAAAAAAATAATAATAACCGAACGGCAGGAGGGCGCAGCTTGAACCGATCCAGCAGGTGCAGCCGGTCCGGCGGTTTCATCGACTGTGATCGAAGTTCACCGTCGTCGACTTTGTTATACCAAGAACGGGGGTCCACCCCCACTCGGACTCGACGGAAATTGTTCCGCGGTCTCAGCCAATCGGCTTTTTCGAATTTCCGGGGGCTTGTCTTCTAGGAGGCTTCTCCTAAACGGTCTCCTTCATATAAAAGCCGGGGCCTTCAAGGAGAGAACATGACGACCGCCAGGTGGCAGTTGGTGGCCAATTTCCACGTTTCGGTGGGACATTGTCCAATCGCTAAGGATCTTGCTTCCTCCCCGAGGAAATTCTTCAAGGGAAGACAGTTCTCGACCATATCCGCGGCGGCCATTAGATGCGGAAAATCGCATTTCGTTCCTCTTGAATCGAGGATCTCCAGCACCGTCAGCTTTTCGGCTTTGACCCACCGAGGATACTTGGGGAGGTTCAAGATGCCGTCCTCGGTGGACAAACTTTATACACAGTAAGTACACGAACTGCGATTGATCATGTTACGGAACGAATATTTACGTTGACATTAAGGACTTACATGCAGTTATCGTAGGCGAAATTCAAGAGTTTTTTTTTTCATAGCTAAAATGCATTTTTTAATCGGAAACAGAGCGTGATTTCGTAGTACAATTATCGAACTTAACACATTCGCGACCGGCAAATTTTTTCCGTTTCAAATACTGAGTACCGGCGAAAATAATGAAACTCTGAAACTGGGTGCTGCAAACTTGTATCGTATGTCGTTATGGACGTGATTCACGTCAGCGGCAATCAGGAATAGAATTTAAAGTGACGTAAATTTACGTCACCGGCAATCAGGAATAGAACTTGAAAACACGTGAATTCACGTCAGCGGTCGCGAATGTGTTAATACGTCATTCTTTTTTCTCAGGTTATATTAAAAATTCGCGAGGTACAGCAATTCTTCGCAAAAGTTTCTTTTTTTCTTTTTTGCGGTGACCACGATGTCTTAAAAATTATTTCACCGGTCGGCTTGAAATTTTTAAGGCTCATTGTACACATGAAGGACTGCTGAATGAACCAAGGATTTTTCGAAATTCCGACTTTTACCGATATGGTAGGGGTTTTACTGCAAAATCACTTTTTTCGTCTTGTAACATTTTCTTTTTTCCTTAATAAAACAGCAAGTTTTCGTAGAAAAAAGGATCCTTCCTTCGTTTGGCAGTCCTTCATGTTCAGAATGAGCCCTAAAAATGTCAAGCTGATCGGTGAAACACTTTTTGAGATGTCGTGGTCACCGCAAAAAAAAAAAAAAACTTTTTCAGAGAATTGACGTACCTCGCCAATTTTTGAATATATCTTGACAAAAGGAATTGTATATTAAGTTCAATAATTGTACTATGAAGTGACGCTCAGTTTTCGATTAACAAATGCATTTTAGTTGTGAAATGAAATTCTTGAATATCGCCTGTCACAACTGCATATAACCCCTTACATAAAAATAGTACATATATACGTATATTTAAGGCACGTAAGTACGTATTTTTTTTTTTCTCAAAGAGTGTAAAAATTCGTGTATAACAACAGAATCTACAGTTTCCTGACCCTGTAACTCGTTCGTCCTCTGTCACGAGAGACCGAAGCCAAACGGAGTAAATTAATTTCCAATTGACCCTCAAGAAGCCCTGCAATAAAACCCCAATTACTGTCAAATTCGAGAAAATGTCCAAATAATGCTCTCCGTGACTGTAAAAATACTTGGCCTTGTTAATAGCTCACTTCCGAGTCTTGTTTTTTTTACTTGCCTCGACAAGAGACTCTATTTTAATTTAATCAGTAATGTAGTCGCGGGTATCTGGTGCGTTAGCTGTATTTCCACGGTCAACATGTTTAAGCAACGTCTAATCGGCTATTTCCGTGACATCCATCGGCATTTTAAAAGCATCCACCAAACTAAAGGCCTTCGACTAACTTTCGTTTTCTCATTGCCACACGGAGAAAAAAGTGTTATAATTGCTACAATTGGGATAGATATAACAGCAATCGCTGGGAAATATAAGGAGAGCAGTTCTACAAAGTAATGATTACTCTGCTAAAAATGTCAAATGTACAATTTCATTGTAGTACACATTATTGCTAAGAATGATTACAGTTACAACGATACGACAGTTATATTTACAATCGTGACAGCATAAACTCGTCAACTGAAACAACAGTTACCACATAACGTGTGTATATGATAACGTTCGCTAGTGTACCCTTTACTGTTGATACGTGTAGAAAGTAACATGCAGCACCGCATTTATTACCGTTGGGGTAGCTAGAAAATACAATAGTAACATGTGTATATTACAGTCAGCTCATGTAAAAGCTACCATTGACAAACGTACATATATGTTGCCGTTGCTGCATGTAAAAAGTATCATTGTAAACGGTATTCTTTCCTGTCGGGAACTCGGGAAATCACTACAGATATAATACATTGAAAACGGTAAGTATTTGTTTTATGTAAAGCTTACCTTGGAACGATTGTTGTAGGTTTTCTAACCTCTACTCCTGAAGTTCATTTTTTACAAAGTCATCCATCTAGTCCCTTAATCAACCTATTACAATGAATTGAAAAAGTAAAACTCGATCTTAAATTAGATCGAAAACCGAATTTCGAAAAGGACCGAATGATGTGGCTACCGAAGTCACAATGAATCTAACAATTCGCAGGACTGAGCAACTAATGCATGTTACGACCCGAATGCTTCTCGCGCTGCGTCTTAAACGCACAATAGGAACAATAACGTTTCACGCTTGTAAAAATTACTAGTGCTACGGTATATTATACGGTTTTTAATAGAGTTCTTGTTTTTAAAATTTACAACTGTGATGGTCATTTTTACACGTGCCTTTGTACGTGTAATTTTTACTTTCCAATGTTGTATATGTAATGCTGTCAAATGCAAATATAACTACAATTTATTTACAAGAATTCTGCAGTTAGTGCTCCAGCCGCAATGGTTAAAAGGACAAAAAATTGTAATTACATCTACAATAATTGTTGTTAAGGTTACAGCAATACTTTGACCCGCGAGCATATGTAATGATTACAATATTATTTTTCTGCGTGCAGGGTGTCCAGCGTAATGGTGAATTACACTACGAAAAGTTCCGCTTCTTTGGAGAACGCTTATGACAACGTTGCTGGGGTGCCCATCAGCAACAAACCGAAGACCCCTTTGGCTCCAAAGGTCCGAGCTTACCTAGAAGAATGCGTAACTTTGTGTCGCCCTGACGACATTTACATTTGCGACGGTAGTCCTGCTGAAAACCTGGAGATGCTGCAACTGCTGAAAAATAATGGGACGATTAAACCTCTGCCGAAGTACAAGAATTGGTGAGCTGATGCATTTTCGTTTGTTTTGCCTTCAGAACAGGTAACCTTTGAACGAGAATTGGAATTCCGCGTTAAGACCGTCTTATCTACCTAAATAACAGAGATAGAACGCTTCTGATTAGCGTCACCAAATTATAAGTGCGTTTGTATTCATGTGATAACGCCTTTCCTCCTGATTTCAGCTGGTTAGCAAAGACCAACCCTGCGGATGTTGCTAGGGTCGAAAGCCGTACTTTCATCAGCACCGAAAACAAGAACGAGACTATTCCGACCCCTCAAGAGGGAGTCAAAGGTATCCTTGGAAATTGGATCTCTCCTGGCGACATGAACCTTGCGATTCTGGATCGGTTTCCTGGATGCATGAAAGGTAATCATTAGAGATGTCGGCGTGCACGTAAACACATTTTCTTATGACATTTAGACCGAAGAAAATGTTCGAGGAATTTTCCCTGCACGCGGTGAAAAGAATTCTCTTAATCTATCAGCAACAAAGTTGCCCATTTCATTCGTCATTATGGTTTAGGTTTTATTTTCGCATTATAGTTAATGTATTAAGGTGATATGAAAGCGTCAGCCTATATATATCGGAGTAGTCAAATCGTTGAAGAAAATATTTGCCGAATTGGGTGTACCGATTTGTTTTAAATTATACCACGGGAATATGGAGGCTCTAAAGTAGGTCCTGAAACTCATGAAATTTTATTTTTCATCCCAAATTTATTTACTAATCATGGACTGGAATCAACATGGCGAGGACTGGGCACGTTTTCGATGTTTTACCCGTTTTGGAGGCTTTGAACCGAAAATGAAGAGTTTCAGGACCTAGCTCGAAGAATTTAGAATATCGTAGGAATGGAATATTACCGAGTTAGATGGGAAAATACGGAAATACTATTACGAACGATTGCAAGAGAATCCTGGATTGTCCAGGGGTTAAGGTGAAGTGAAACACATCGAGGAACTTGATCAACGTCGATAAAGAAGATTTTTCTAAATGCTTACGTTGCCGACGTTCGTTTTTCTATTGACAGCTGTGTCGAATTATATTGGGTATTGTACCAAATGGCATATTCCACCTGTCGTTTTCGTACAATAATTATAAAGAAATCGAAGTAAAACTCCAGAAATCCTCTGGATTCATGCTTTCTGGGGCTCTAATTGACTTCAGAGGGACCCCCTGCACCATCTATGATTTACAGGTCAATTCAATTTTCACTCCAAGACCTCGTATTACCATCGTTTTAGCATAGAAGCGCATACAACACTTTTTTTGCCTTTATCCCGTTCAAATGCGAGTTTATCGATTACCAGAGTGTTCTAAATTGTCGTAAAATTGTCCTGATCCTTTCGATTCTCATATCAGAGCCCTCGATAATTGTATATTGATCGAAATATGAGAGATCGACGCCATTTTGGTTCTGGTTTGGGCTGTTAAACATTTTTTAAAAAAAATCCAGATTTGAATGTGTCAGGACAATTCCAGATCAGGATGATCAGGAGTGATGTGTCAAAGTTTCGGACAGTTTGGTGTAATACCCTTAAAAAAAGTGTTGTATTCGAATCGACTGATTTGAAGGGGGTTTCACTTCACCTTAACACATGTTGTTAGAGCAAAATTTAGTTGCAACTAAACGTCACAGATGGCGACGTTGGTCCTGAACAGTCGTTAGAATAATGAATTCACGGTATTTCGACAGTTTTACATCGCTCTCCATCATTATTTTACCGAAATGACATATGGAACGCTTCAGTTCGTAAAATTATCAACGTAGACTGTAAAAGACTTCGACATATATATAAATGTCGGTAACGTGACGCGCCAGCTTCTGTTCCCACTTAACATATATGAATTTTATTTTTTCGACGTCGATTAAATTCCTCAGCGTCTTTTATATCATCTTAACGTTTTTAGGTCGAACGATGTACGTAATCCCGTTCAGCATGGGCCCCGTGGGATCTCCTCTGTCCAAAATTGGAATCGAAGTCACCGATTCTGCTTATGTAGTCTGCTCCATGATGATCATGACCAGAATGGGTGCACGCATCTTGGAAGCTCTAGGAAACGACGATTTCGTAAAATGCCTACATTCCGTTGGTTTGCCGAAAAAGGACTCCACGGTCCAAGTCGATTCTTCCTGGCCTTGTGATCCCGAAAGGACCATCATCCTTCACAAACCGTCTACGAATGAAATCGTTTCTTATGGCAGCGGATACGGTGGCAATTCCCTGCTGGGAAAGAAGTGCTTAGCTCTCAGAATCGGCTCGACAATCGCCAGAGACGAAGGCTGGCTTGCGGAACACATGTTGGTGAGTTTATCATCAAATAATGATATTATTCCGTGACATCGAGACCTTAAAACTCGCGGGGGGTCTGGGTGAAATGTTGCTATCAGAGAGGCTTTATCTTATCTGGGCCAAGAACTGGCTTCGGCATCAATGTCCATGGCAAATAATTCAAACTGTCGACCCTGGTTCAACGACAACAATTGCAAGATAGGAGACCTCATGTTAGGCCGTAAAAGTTATTGTAAAGAAAATATTGCATTATGGTTACATTTAAACATTCGTCCTTCCCCGGGTAGATAATGGTGAAATGCAAATGTAGAATCCGGTAAATGGGAAGAAGTAGACGTTTTAAATCGGAATGCTTTTAACAATTATTCGTTACTGAAAGTTGTGGGAAAATATATTAGTATTCCATTGAGGAGATCCTGAAATCGATTCAGATGATCGGATCGATTCCAACGCCGGTCGGGTAAAGAAAGAAAAATAGGCAGCTACATTATCGGTTCTCATGGCGTCACTTAAAAAATATTAGGAAATATCCTATCGCGCCCTCTGTAGGCAACGCGAAGTACTGCAAGCGGTTACTTACTTCTTTCTATTTCATACTGAAATTCCAACAAGTTCGGATACATTTTTGACAATCACTCATCAAGTACCGTTCAATTCCGTTTTTTTTTTCTTAATTTATTATATTATAGTTTATTTATTATATATTTGAAGGCTTTCATGTTATTCGCGTTGATGACTTCGAACCAAATATTGTCCTTCTTTACCTACATTGTAAGATTTTCACGCATGAGTGAGACGTGTAAAACGAGTTCATAGATTTGATCTATTTCTTTCATTTTAAAATTGTTTCGAAATGGTTAATTAACGATTTACTACGGTTTTATTTTTTTTTTTAATAAAAGTACGGTCACCCCAAATGTGAGCAGGTCCCATATGCTTTTATTTGGACATAGATTGGTTGCTAGTGACAAATTGAGTGATAACAGAATCTGCACATTTTCATTCTTTTCGCGATTCGCAATATGACTTGGATAATCGTTCTATTCATCTGTTGGTTATCGATCATTTTGGAAAAGTATTTCTCATTTTGTCCAGGACAAATGTCCTTTTTTGTGAACTCGTAAGTCGTCTTTCAGCTGGTCATAATAGGAAGGTTCAGTATCCTCTTAAGGTATAATGTTTTATAGAACATCCGTTTATTTTTCGTCGGTAACGGCGTTTCTTCGATGACGTCTTACTCTATTTGAAAACATGTTAAATGAACTTCTCGCAGATGGAACATATCATGCTTTTGATGAAATTCCAAATTTTAGGCGTGGTAATAATAGGAAGGTTCAGTATCCTCTTAAGGTATAATGTTTTTTTAGAACGTCCGTTTATCTTTCGTCGGTAACGGCTTTTCTTCGATGACGTCTTCCTCTATTTGAAAACATTTTAAAAGAACTTCTCGCGGATGGAACATATTATGCTTTCGATGAAATTTCAGATTTTAGGTGTGACAAACCCAAAGGGAAAGAAGCGATACATTGCGGCAGCCTTTCCCAGCGCTTGCGGGAAAACAAATCTCGCAATGATACAGCCGACTCTTCCGGGTTACAAAGTGGAATGTGTCGGTGACGACATTGCTTGGATGAAATTTGATGGAGAAGGCAGACTTCGCGCCATCAATCCTGAAAACGGGTTCTTCGGAGTTGCTCCAGGTACTAGTATGGCAACAAACCCGAACGCCATGAAGACCATCTTCAGTAACACACTGTTCACTAATGTGGCTTCCACCAGCGACGGAGGAGTTTATTGGGAAGGTCTAGAAAAAGAAGTGTCTGAAGACGTGGAGGTCAGTAAAGATGCTTCTCTGAAATGATCGCTTCTCTTCCCGAAGAGAAATTCGTAAGGAGACAACGGTTCGGTTTCAGATCGTTGACTGGTATGGTAATAAATGGACTCATCAGTCAACCAAGCCAGCTGCACACCCGAATTCCAGATTTTGCACCCCAGCCAAGCAATGTCCAATTATTGACCCTCTATGGGAAGCACCGGAAGGAGTACCAATTGACGCCATCCTTTTCGGCGGTCGTAGACCGGAAGGGGTTCCTTTGATTTATCAGGCAAGAAATTGGCAACACGGTGTCTTCATTGGAGCTAGTATGAGGTCCGAGGCGACTGCAGCTGCGGAATATAAGGTTTGTACGATCATACTGGAAACAATTTAAGGTGAAGTGAAACCCCCTTCAAATCAGTGGATTCGAATACAACACCTGTTTTTAAGGGTATTAGACCAAACTGTCCGAAACTTTGACACATCACTCCTGGTCACCTAAGAATTGTCCTGACACATTCAAACTTTGGATTTTCTTCTTCGAATGAAATCTACAAGAAATCTTAAAGAATCTGTCGCTTGAGATATTTAGCAGAGATTACAAAGAAATATTTAGAAATTATTCTATGCTATTAGGGGAGGGTAACACAATCGTCAGATTTTTCCGGCATTGTCATATTACATTTCGTAAAAATGGCCTTTTAATTAAAAGAGAAAAAACTAAAAGGCGGTAACAAAAGAAGGTATGAGTATGGCGTCTTTTAGCAGCGGTCCGATCATCTTTAACTAAAAGTTGTTTAAAAGCGCTGCCAAAAGTGAGATATATGAGTGAGGGCCTAATTCTGTACAACAGCGGACATGAATGCCTCTCCTGCAGATACTGCAGGGGAGGCAGAGACTGCATCGCCTATGCAGGTTGGGAGGGCATTCATGTCTCCCAGTGTACCTAATGAATGAACTACGTCTTTTAGGGTAAAGTTATAATGCACGACCCTTTCGCAATGAGGCCGTTCTTCGGCTACAACTTCGGACATTACTTGGACCATTGGCTGAGCATGTCACGAGTGAAGAATGCCAAGTTGCCCGCTATTTTCCACGTGAATTGGTTCAGAAAAGGGTCCGATGGGAAGTTCCTATGGCCAGGATTTGGCGAGAATTCCCGAGTACTCGATTGGGTTCTGCGGAGGATAGAAGGAGAAGATATCGCCACGGAGACCCCAATTGGACTGATTCCAAAATCCGGATCCCTAAACCTGGAAGGCATCGAGGAGAACTTAAACATGGAAGAGCTGTTCAGGATACCGAAAGACTTCTGGCAGAAGGAAACTAAGGACTTGAAGACCTTCTTTGACGCTCAAGTTGGAAAGGACCTTCCCACTGCCGTGGCTGTCGAGCTAGACAATTTGGAGAAGAGAATCGCCGAAATGTAACAGACTGAGGCCAATTAATATGGCTTAATATAAGGGGTAGGAGAAGACGACTATCTTTTTCTATTTGGTGAGAGATTGTACGAATTTGAGGGAGAGTTTATAGTATAATAAGGATGAAAACAATGTCATGGGTAAACTAAGAGAGTATTTCGTAAAGCGCCCCACAGGTTTTCGATTTTTTATATAAATATAATTATATAAAAATTACAAAAACGGTCGGTCGTTCACTATAGTATTGTTTTCAAGGCAACGTATACAAATTCAAACTCCGTTCAATTGCTTTTGTGTGATAGTTGATACGACGTTGTGTAAATATGTACATAGTATTGCGTGATCACAGATTCGTTGTTGGAGGCTCGATTGAAAGGGAAGTATTTTAAACGACATTAAATTACTACTACAAGTAGAGTTTACGAAAGGAAGGTCGAGTCGACACTCTGTCCCATTCTTAAATGTAAAAGGTACATAGGTAAAGGAAAGTACGCTGTCACTACTTTGTATCGCCAGCACACAGTGCCATGATTTTTCGTATTATAGAGATATTTATACAATAATAAAGACCGATTACAGTTGCACCAGTTCTTTCGTGTGCCTTTCAGGTTTTCCTATATCTTTTATTTACTCATTGCAACAATCATCCGTAGGATATATGTCAATACGTTGATCAAATAACGAAAATATCCCGTATAAGTACATATATATATTTTTTTAAGAAATGTAATTAAGGTGATATGAAAGAGCCTATATATATATAAGAAGTCAAATCGTTGGGGAAAGTATTCTCCGAATTGGGTGTACCGATTCGCTTCAAAATTTTACCATGGGAGTATGGAAGCCCTAAAATAGGTCCTGAAACTGATGATATTTCATTTTTCATCCAACATTTATTTACTTATCATGGACTAGAACCAACATGGCGTGGTTCATCTTAAGGTGAAGTGAAAACCCCCTCAAATCAGTCGATTCGAATACAATACCTTTTTTTAAAGCTATTGGACCAAACTGTCCGAAACTTTGACACATCACTCCTGATCATCTAAGAATTGTCTTGACACATTCACACTTTGGATATTTGGAAAAAATTTTTTAACTTTGTCCAGACCAGAACCAAAATGGCGTGGAGCTCTCATATTTCGATCAATATACAATTATCGAAAGCTCTGATATGAGAAACGAAATGGCCAGGACAATTTTACGACAATTTAGAACACTCTGGTAGTCGATAAACTCGCATTTGAACGGGATAAAGGTAAAAAAAGTGTTGCATGCGCTTCTATGCTAAAACGATGGTAATACGAGGTCTCGAAGTGAAAATTTAATTGAGCTGGAAATCACAAATGGCGCAGGGGGTCCCTCTGCAGTCAATTAGGGTTCCAGACAGCATGAGTCCAGAGGATTTCTGGAGTTTTACTTCGATTTCTTGATATTCATTGTACAAAAACGACAGGTAGAGTATGCCGTTTGGTACAGTATCGAATATAATTTGACACACCTGTCAATATAAAAACGAACGTCGGCAACGTAGGCATTTAGAAAAATCTTTATCAACGTCGATCAAGTTCCTCGACGTGTTTCATTTCACCTTAGGAGGATATGAAAGGCGTTAGGATAATGGATGTAATCGAGGTCCGTACGACATCTGGCTGTATCTTCACGAACTGTTACTGAATGTCGCTCAGATTTGATTTAAGTATGATAAAAGCCATCCGCAATCGATACAAGCGTACCGACGGGAGTATTCATGTTACAGAAGAATGTCACTCCGTATCCAACAGATGGCGCGCTGGCAGCATTGACGCACCTGCGAGAACATAAATCTATCCTCTCATACCCGGAGAATAATCTGTAAACTCAACAAAAGAAAAGCACTCACTCAGTTCTCATTGCCAAATATTTAACATCGAGATAACACAATTTTTCTCACGTGCCTTATTTGGTGCTTCTGCACTGAAACGTACCACGTTCGGTACAGCGTGATCACCGTGTGATCGTTTCTGGTTATTCTCACAGATCGACGTGACTGACTCTCGATGAAGGTCTCAAAGACCTTCATTAACACACTTCTGTAATAATTTGTACCTCGTAATTTATGGAAGCTATTTTTAACAGTAAACTTCCGACAAATCGATGATGTATGTCTGACGATGCCCTCAGATAATAGCAATAAAAATTAAGCGCCCAGACGATATAAAGTGTTAGAAATTAAAATTGGTAAGTGTACTTTTATGTAACATTTTTCGGAAACGTATAAAATTCACATCAGTGATCTCGCAAACGATTTATCGTAAAGATGACGAAGAGATGTTTTTAGTAATCTTTTCGATGTGGCAAAGAGATATCTGAAAGATTTTTTCTAACCAGTTACATTTTGCTGAATTTGGCAGACTAAAAGATGTCTCTGTGTGGGTGCATAATAGAGGAGGCGGAAAGCTGCTGTAAGATGTCAGAAAGTAGATGGAAGGTGACAGCATCAGAGCCATTTCATTTAGATGTAGTTTTATGTGCGAATATTATTTAAAAGTTAAAGCTTTACGATTTTGTAAGAAGATAAACTCAATTTCCGATGTCAACTGATTACTATCATTTGCTATTTTATTTTATTTAATAATTTAAATTTATATCGTTCTTACCTTGCTATTAGTACACTGATAGAAAATGCCGATGTTAAAATAATATTGTGCCTATAGTTCCCAATTTTAGAATGTACCTACTATAATTTTAGTAATAGTTACAAAGCTATTGGTTACGATTGCAAGGGTTCATAGTAAGGGGATCCGAATTAACTAATAATATAGTAATTGATAATGAAATATTCGCGGTTTTTTCAAATATGATAAAAACGTGTGTGTAATCAAAAGATGTTTACTGTTACTCAAAAATTTCGTAGGATATTACTCTAAGAGAAACTTATGGTTATTTTCAGGATGGTGAAACAACTTTGCCAATTGTTCTCAACGGGACCGATAGATGGCAGTGGCGTGGCTGTTTCGCAAGTGGTCCAAATAGCAGATCGTTCGTATAAGGTTTGTATACGGAACCCGTTACTGCTTTTTACGTTTAATTCGTGATATCATTTTTCTTCACTGTTTCAAATGTCCGCACTTCACGTACACATTAAAAGGTAATCATTTCGCCCTGGAGAGTAGGTGCCAGGAAGAAGGAGAGGTTATTATAAATTATCCGCCGAAGTTGAAGAAAAGCACATCGAATATAAATACACGTAAAGATGTCTAAATTTTATCATCTTTTAATTTAATGATGATTCGAATTCGATTTATTTTTCAGTTTTTACTAACAGATGGCAAAATTCGACGCAGAAGACACCTTTTCGTCTTCTTTTTGTCGACTTTATGCTATTACCAAAAGATGACTTTGTGGAAGATTCGTCATCCCTTAGACATCCTTTAGTTGTGCCGTCTGGATCCGTCCTGGTCTGATTTAGCAGCTCGCATTCTGTCATGTATTGACAGCTCAAAAAGCGAGAACAACATGAATCATGGGGAAGACCCCTGATGGGCTGAAAAGGAGGGAAATACAAATATAACTATTTCGATCGAGACAACCTGATCCATAGGGCCGATTCTTTATATCACAGAGATACTAAAAATATGCTACATTTGGAAGAACTTTATCTTTAACATATCCATCCGAGTTCAGAGCGGGAAGATATCCCGAAATCTATATAAAAAAAAAATTTAATTTAGTACTTGTCGAATTATCTTTCCAAATGCTATTATACGCATATCTTATTCTCGATATATATTGAAATTCACTGCAAAACTTCGCCAATTAATTATAATTAGGATATCAAATAATCAGATATAATCAGTTAATCCCATGCTCATAAAATGGTATGTTTGCTTCTTTCTTCCTATTGTTACTTCGATATTTTATGCTATGGTAGTCTTTAGCCAAGCAGTAGCGGTCTGTTTTTCTTCCTCGAATGCGAATCCGTCGCTTTGAATATTTAAATTAAAACACTTAAGTATAAAAAATCGTTACTTCCTGATCCATAATAGCAAAGACATCCTGGGTGAAGTGATCCCATGATGCAAAGGAGACAAGGTGTGCTCCCACGGAGGTCTTACTTTTAACTCGTTCAGCGCCATTCAAAACGTTACCATATTGCAATATATTAAAAGTGCCGTTGATTGGTTAACGAACATTGTTACCGCTTGAAAGTACCCCGCGACTGGCCCATCAAAAGGGTTACTTCATTGCACACCTTACCCCTTTACATCATGAGCAGTCCATACTTTTATAGTCAAAGCCCACAAGATACCCTATGCAGATTGTCCTCCTGATCCCTGGTCTCCATGTTCCTATCTGTGGAATAGCCACCGTCTGGAACCATCGCCATGTTCAGTTGGTGGCGAAGATAGGACCCGACGTGGGCAGCGAATCGACTCTGCGTGTAACTTTCGTGACGAGTGTTCTTAGGATAGCGGATACCAGCGAATACAACGGGTCCGTAGACGTGTGCGTTTCGTTCTGCTCCATTCAAAACGCCGCCATATTACTTTATTCTAAAAGTGTGATTAATTGGTTAGCAAACATTGTGGCCGCTTGGAAGTGCCCCATGACTGGCCCATATTACTATATTCTAAAAGTATCGTTAATTGGTTAGCAAACATTGTTACCGCTTTGAAGTACCCCGTGACTGACCCATCAAAAGGGTTACGAAACAGCACACCTTATCCTATTACATCACGAGTAGTCCTTACTTTTATAGTCAAAGTCCACAAGAGACCCTATGCAGATCGTCCTCCTAGTCTCTGGTCTCCATGTTCCTATCCATGGAATAACCACCGACCGGAACCATCGCCATGTTCAGTTGGTGGCGAAGATGGGGCCCCATACGGGCGCCGAATCGACTCTGCGTGTAAAATTTGTGACGAGTGTTCTTAAGATAGCGGATACCAGCGAATACCAGCGGATACATGGGATCCGTAGACGTGTGCGTTTTGTTCTGCCCCATTCAAAACGCCGCCATATTATTATATTCTAAAAGTGTCGTTAATTTGTTAGCAAACATTGTCACCGCTTTGAAGTACCCCGTGACTGGCCCATCAAAAGGGTTACAAAACCGCACACCTTATCCTATTACATCATGAGTAGTCCTTACTTTTATAGTCAAAGTCCACAAGATACCCTATGCAGATCGTCCTCCTAGTCTCTGGTCTCCATGTTCCTATCCATGGAATAACCATCGACCGGAACCATCGCCATGTTCAGTTGGTGGCGAAGATGGGGCCCCATACGAGCGCCGAATCGACTCTGCACGTGACATTCGTGACGAGTGTTCTTAGGATAGCGGATACCAGCGAATACCAGCGGATACATGGGATCCGTAGACGTGTGCGTTTCCACCGGGGAACGCACCTTCGTTCCCTTGAGCAGCTTCGCAGCTGCACCGGGAAGTACTTTAACATTCAGTGCGAGCTACAGCGAACCAACGAGGCTCCCTCCCTGGTGTGCGCGCCAGATCGGTATTTACGATTCAGGAGAAATCCTTCTCTCCGGCCACCAGTCCGTCCGTTCCTCCCTCCGTCAATCCGTTATAATTTCTCCGCTAATA